TGTGTGTGTGACACATTGTGTAGTTTTTGCTGTACCTGTGTGTACACACTGCCACACAGTGAGCAGCTCCACTGAAGCTGCAGGAACAGGAAACACACCACGTGACCTTTGACCTGACCCACAATGCACCTCTGCTCCGAACTCAGAGCCCACGGACCCAGATGCATGATGGGAGCAGGAGGAGGGGGCGGAGCCAAGCTGACAGAAACACAAACACACTGATCAATATGTCAAAAACAATAAACTAACATGAGACCTCAACAGATCTGGAGTTACCTCGTGTCTCCCAGAGAAATGACGGTTATTGAGCTGACAGGTAGAAATGTGCAGTACACACTTCCTATCCTGAAACACACACACGGAAATGTTTACAGGTGTGTAGCAACATTGAGCTTCAATGTAATGTGCTTGTGTGTTTGTGTGTGTGACCTGGACTGCCTCCTCTGGAAAGCGGACAGCAGCAGGGTGTTTCCAGGCAACAGTCCAGGTGGGTAGGGGGTGTGGCTTAAGTCCAGGTACACCTTGAGACTCCTTCCACTTTGGTCACACAGTGTGAGACTCACACCTGAACAGACACACAACAAAAACAGCTAAAATTCTTTCTACCTGTTCACCTGTGTATTTGTGTACCTGTGTGTGTTTACCTGTGTTCGTACCTGTGTGTCCACTGTGGGCAGTCCTGTCACTCACACTGATCCTCTCAGACACCATTCCCTGGAAACACACCAACTCTGACCTGAAACACACACACACACACACACACACACACACACACACACACACACACACACACACACACAGATCAGTGTGTTGGTGCTGTAGTTCCTCGGTTGATGACAAGAGGCGACTCTGAGTCCAGGTGAGAACCTCCGTTTACCTGCTGTCCAAAACCTCAGAGACAGACAGGACTGTGGACGAGAGCACCTGAACACACAGAGAGACACGTGAGAACGTTTTGTCTTCAGGTCCGGGTCAGAAGCAGGTTCCATTTATGATCACATTTGTCACAAAGGCAGAGACAACCATGTTACCTGTCTGCAGGTGTGCAATAGCAGTGGGCATGTCAGAGTGTGGAACCTCCAATCAGATCTGACCTGAAGGGTGGAGTCAGTGTGGAGCTCCACCCCACTCCGCCCAGAGACACCAGAGCCAATCAAAGCACTGGGATCCTGAGGAAGAGACACTTTAATTTACAGCTCTTCAATAAAGGTTTACAACAAAACAACAACCTCCAAAGAGGTGAGACCTCAGCCCCGCCCCTCAGTGACATCATCACAGGTGTGTTTACCTGAGTGCTAGCGGCAATGAGTCTGTAGAAACATCCACGATGGAGGACAGGAAACCATCGGGCAGA